GATATAGATTATGTATAACACAAAAATACATCTAGTACATGAGTATATAGTTGTGGAATTATTTACCAAGTACCCTAAGATCACTGTCATATCATGGTTTTAAGCAATAATAATATATATATTAATTACTAATTACCTTCCCCTAAATTGATCATCGAAAAAATTAACTGACTGACGGTAATCTAGTGCAGTGATACTTGAAGAGGGCGAAGGAGATAAAATACGGGGCAAAAAATTCGAATGGGACGACAAGGGCGAGTGTGCATTCTCGAGAAGGCAAATTTGATTAAAATCGCCGAATGATTTATTCAAATGGCGTATTCAGAACCTGAACATCGGTATTATGTCGGTAAACAATATTTCCGCCAAATCTCAAAATAGAGTATTTCCCTGTGTGTCAAAGACGGCAAGAAAGAGCTAAGTGTGAAAAACTGGTTTTTACTAGGGAGGGGACGAGATTCGGATCCATGCATTTTGGGGACTCGGATTCGATTTCGAGTCCACGACATTTTTACCGAGTCCCTATTCAATTCTGTTTTAAATAATTGGCACCTCCGTTATGCGGGTTAGCCATTATGAGAGATCTCTAAAATTATACGTATATTGTATCACAGGCGCTTATTAAACATTTCGTCGCTAATGACCACATCCAAATAAAACATCAAGGCTCTTTTTGGTGCGCGAACCAACAAATTACTCTTCGTAAACAAAATAGAAAGAACAGCACCCTAATGGAAAATTTATTAAAACGTTTTCAATTACAGTTTATTGCGTGCAATTTGCTTCCTGAAAATAGGAAAGCAAGAAAAATTTGCTAAAAGCAACGAAATTATGCTCAAACCAAGTTAACGAAATAACAGGAATGAAAAGAAACAGCAACAAGGGGCATTGAATGGGAAAGTGACAACTGTGTGCTACTCGCGGAATGAAAATTTTTATAGCTAATAGCATCTGCAATCATGCAGACGTATCGTAGTCAAAATTGAGTTTCTTCAGATTGACATGCAAGAATGTTAAAATTTCGACGTTTTTTGGCTTCAGACGGGGTTACATAACGGCGACTTTACAACGCCAGCTGTGCTAAAAAGACGCTCAGAATTGACTGACGTGGGGGGGGGGGGGGGGGGGACATGAAAGCAAGCTTACGGCCAAAGCAAACATCGCCTGGCATTCATTTCTGTATTGTGACCAAAAACAAGTGGAGACTTGTGCCTTTTAAGAGTAGGTGCCGCAAATATTGCCTGGCAGCAGTTACGATATCACCATCCACATCCACCTGTTCCCTGACAAGACCCGCGTTCTAAGGTGCACCGAAGACCACACTATCTTCGGCCTCTTCTGGTGACGATGATTGATATAATTCAGTCCCTCCGTAGAGTTCAACCTTATCCGTGGCGAACTTCTTCACTTCAGCAACAAGCAGCCGTTCAATTTCTTGCCGATTGATAGTTGAGCACCATTACAACTTTAACCTTGGATCGAGTACTGTAGCCAATAAACAACGATTAAATGAAGCCTCGTTCTGAAAGTAGGCGTCTCGGGGCTGAGGTTCATTTCCAGGAACGCTAAATCTCCGTTCTATACCACTTTTGAGGCTATTCAGAAAATTATCGAGTTCATAAATATCGCTGTCACTAATGAATGCTTCCAATCTTTTCAACAAATTTTCTTTTACTGGTAAAATGCTTGCTATTGTCGCCTCATCAGTACAAACTTCCTTGGTCGCTATGTCAAATAACTACAACACCCGAATTAAAGATGAAGCCATTCTCCACTGGTTAGATCAGTGATTCCCAAAGTGGGCGATATCGCCCCCCGGTGGGCGAAAACAATACAGAGAGGGGCGAAACATTCGAAGGGGGCGATTTCGCGGAACCTGTTTTTGTTCGGCGCACCGTGCACTCATTCTGTACTCTGTGTGAATTCGCAGGCTTGAATCACGTGGGCGATTATCACACGCAAAAGGATGGCTTGACTCGTCTTCGCAGTAAGGTACAGTAGTTTGCGTATCCCAGTGGTCGGCAAAATACGGCTGGAGTAAAATAATCTGGCCCGGAACGATTCACTGAATGGACCATTCCCCGACCTTTGACTGCGGAAAATTCTTCCTATACTTTACCATTTTAAAATTTTCGGTGCTCATTTTAAGAGTGGTTTCGCGAGTTGCTGCCTGTAAAATGGGATATTTGTTTCAAACTATCATTCTAATTCATACCATCCAACAATCTGTTTTTAAAAAATACTGATGAAGTATTTTAGCCTAGTCCAGTGTTTCCCAACCCGAGTCGGCGGTCTCAAATGAGTCCGCAGAGCGTTTAAATGAGTCCGCAACGAGTCAGAAATTCACTGCGGGCCGCAAACGTTTTTGCGAAACTCAATTAACTATCAGCCAAGTTAAGATTTGCGTTAGAATTTACAATAAAACATAAAAAGTCAGTTTATTCACATGACATTATTCGCGTCAATAATTACTGGTTACTGAGTAGGGCTGGGCATATATTCGAATATTCAAATATTAGAATAGCACAATTACTAATCGAAAATTTGATAACACGTGACGCGACAGGTCACTTGCGAGTCGCTTAATCAAGCGATTGGATTTCACAACTCACTTGTGGATTTCCGACGAAAACAAGAGTCTGACGACACGCTTCGATAGATTCGTAATAGGTGTTTCTCGCGAGTTCGAACAACGAGGAATAAATTATTTTTCTGGTAGGTGTAAATGGTGGCAACCCAAATTTTCAAAATTGGAGAGCGGTCCGCGATCGATTAAAAACGCTTTTTAGACATTGCAAATCGCAAAATTTCGGGTGCTACCGTAGTATACGTACCAGGGCATTTTCCTTTAAGATTTTCTGCTTTACTGACTCCACTTTAGTAATGTCGCACAGTAGTAATGTCGAATTCACACAGATTTGTCGAATTCACAAAAATACGAATCAAAACAAGATATACACTTTACCACGCATTTTTGCGTCCACGGATTGTCATGGTATTTTCTGAGTAGTATTGCTCCTATTTCGTCAACACAACCGTAGATTAAAAGAATCACACATGTGGATGGATTGAATATTTTATGCAAGAGAAAAAATCATTGAAAAGTCGGCTCTTTAACGAGTGACGTATACGCGACGATTACTCCAGAAGTTGTTCGCGAGAATTTCAAGGCGATGAATATGTATTTTCGATTTACTAATATATATACCTTAAATATATTTTTAATAAAAACTAAATTAGGTTGGTACATTCTGGAAATTTATAGCAGATAGTATAATTTTTTTAACAACGATAACAAATTCACAAGATGGCAAAAAATATGTATCAAAGCTGAATATAATCAGGCAATAAATTCTCTCATTATTATGTTCGCAGATGGCAGTGGAATTTTAAAAAAGTGATGCTTTCATCTTATCGTAAGTCGACGCTACCGCAAGTTACCATGATGAACACAAATAAATTAAAATAGGAAGACATTTCAAATTCTCGTCGTTGTCATGGATTGAATACTGTGCGACAGAAAAGTCCATTATATATACACCAAAAAAGTCGGCTCTTTTAACGAACGCGTAATAGCGGCGAATTTTCGATTTTGAAATTCGTTAAATTTCTGTTGTGTTTGGTTTTATTGCTTCTTTACACAGAGTACGGATGCAATAAACGCACTTTGAGTCCGCAAAGGTTTTCGTCGGTGAGAAAATAGTCTGCGACCAAAAAAGGTTGGGACACGCTGGCCTAGTCTATCACAGCTATTTCTACACTAAATTTTGATTACTGTATTTAAACTGAAACTCATAGGAAGACAAAGTAATCATTGACTTATTTGATTTATATATAAATTTCCGAAAAACAACTGAAAACTAACGAATATAATTCAATAACGCGAAAATGGGGTAATGTTCACGACCACGCCTGAAAATCTGTCTGAGAGAGTGTCTGAGCGGATGCGAAAGAGGGCATTGTTACGTTTATTTTTGCATCTTGCTGATTGGACAATGTCACGAAGTAAACAAGGAAGCGGTTTTGACGATGAATTAATATTACCCATAATCTACGCTCGAGGAGTAAATTGCATTTTTTTTACCTAACAGAATTTATCGTGAGACACGTTCAGACTAAATTTTATTATATCCTGAAAATTCTATCGAACAGCTAGCTACTCGTGTAACGAGCCTACAATTTAATTAATTATAATTAGACAAATGGAATCACGGAAAAAAGTTGATGCTGAGGGCAGGGGTTCAATAGTGCAGTAAATATTCGAATATAATGCAATGCAATAAGGAAATAAAATTTATATTCTGTTCGAGACATTCACGATAGTTGGTCACGGCTTCTTCCACGTCCGAGTCCATGAATCCAAAAACAAAAGACTGATTAATTCTTTGGACTGGAAGCCGTGGTAGGATAAGGAATCGGGGATGATATTTACCGAAGTATTTTGGTGCAGGTCATCAGGCTGTCGGAATGAATGTACGAAAATCATTATTATAAGTTTGGGAAAATTGCCTTTGTTTTCATTATTTTAATGTGAAGTGGGGTGAATTTAGGGAGTGAAATGCTATTATAAGGCAAGAGTACACGGCGGTTTTTGAGGGGATAGAACCCTGGATTCTTTCATTTCCTACCTATTATATGATGAAAAAGGGGTTTTCAGCCATGCTACTATTGCTATCAAAACAACGAAATCGCCTTTCCATCTGTAAACGGGGTAATTTTAGATATAATAAAAAACTCGCTGAAGGAAACCAAGCTCATCCATGTCATTAAAAAACAATATAAACTATGATTTGTCTTCTTATTTGGTCTGTAATATATTCGTTTCTGACTTTACATTTTTTTGTAGTGCCGGGGGGCGATGAAGTTGTATAAGCTTCTGTAGGGGGGCGATGGTCAAAAAAGTTTGGGAACCACTGGGTTAGATGACAAAGTATTATCAATTCCTCTGAAGGACATATCATTAATAAATTCTCTCTATTACACCATTCGTATGTAGAGTTCTATCTGGTACTCACGTCCTGTTGCAATTTATGTTCTGGTGCATTCAGCCTTTTCTGACATTCCCTGAGTGCCCGGGCGTCGCGAGATGAGCGGTTATAGTGGGCAATTATAGAGCGGGCATCAGTCACGATTTCTTTTACATCAATGTTCGATTTGATAGCGTCGTGAACGATTAAGTTTAAAGTGTGTGCCATATTAAAAATCTCCCCGTCATTTTTTGCCTTGATCACATTCGAGGCATTGTCGGATGTTCTAGTAGCAAACGATACGCCCCACTCACTTTCTTGTCTTCGTATTTCTGACAGCAGCAATCCTGAAGTTTGGGAGCTCACGAGCTCAGAACAGGAAAGAACGGGCGTAACCCGGTGTAAATCACTCTTGTTCCAGATAAGAAAATTGGAGGTTATACTCATGAATGAATCAATTTGAAGACTTGTCCATTCATCTGTTGTAGCACATATGGGTCCACCGGCACTATTCAACAATTCCTCTATATTATATGTCACTTTATCATATATTCCTGGTACAACGGTGTTGGAAAAATATTTTCGAGACGGAATAGTGTATCTAGCATTCAGTTCTTCCATAAGCCGCAAAAAACCCACATTTTCCACCATCGAATACGGCATAAAATCTAGAGCGATCATCTCGCCAATTTTTGATGTTAAGCATCGAGAAACGGGGTGTGAATTGTCATACAATTTACGTTTTGACAAGGCTTCGACGATGGTAGGTTGGCGACTGCTGCATTCAGCAGTAGCAGTACTTTCGACGTTGAATCTCTTAGATCCACCTGATTTTTCGAAAATCTGATGGCAAGTTGACAAGTGCTTAAGCATTGAACTCGTTGTATATGAGGATTTGCATTTCCCACGTCTAATTTTATTTGCACAAATGCCGCATTCGGCCTTTGAACCGTCATCTTCACAAATTTTGAAATACTGCACACAACTGACTTGGTTTTCGGTGATGACATCGCAACAGACAACCACCAGTAGCGGAAACCTTCTAACCTTGTTGTCAAAAGCAGTCCAATTACACCCGTAAATCTTTCCGAAAACAATCTACCTTACCCAAAAGATTCACGCAATTAATCGCTAACTAAGCTATACGCGAGCGTGGCAAGAAAACGGTACGTCGCCAATCGCGCATTGTTGCGTCACAATTGAAAACGGTTTTTTTTTTTGCCGTTTTCATTATGACGTCACGGACTCGGAGGATTCGATTCGAGTCCATGACCTATTACTCGGATTTGCCCGAGTCTTTGTAATGCCGGACTCGTCCCATTCCTAGTTTTTACAGTACTTATTATGCGGTCATCTGAGACGAGACTCTAAATACATCCTTGGGAGTTGGGATTGAATACAAAAATCGAATTTCCACTGGAGAAATCTCATAATAAAAAATAAATGTATATATATATAAATTATATAATGGAAAAACCGTTTTAGGAGTGCCACGGAAACTATACCGTAGTCACCTGAGGTTGATTCATTCCATTATCTATTTCAAAATTACGGCCCGATCACATTTTATCGTCGACCTCGTAATTTTGCCAACGGCGATATCCCGACAATCATCTCGAGCGACAAGTTAATAAATTACCAGGATTGCAAAATGCGAACCAATTCTAATTATAATCGGGCAATATACCATGTCTGAATCAGAAAACGCATTTGAATACATAGATCACTGTTTATAAGCTATATGCTATATATTTAAATATAATTAATTTTGGGGATGACAAGGATCCTTGGCGAAATTACTTAATTTTAACAAATTGCGATATATACAAGAATATACAACACAGTTGATGCCGTGAGTTAATTACCGACATGAGCAAAAACTTGAAGATCTAATATTTTTGAAACAACCTATATCTATAGTCGAGAGATACTCATTCACAACAATAACTCAAACAGTAGTAAATGTCATAGGCGAAAAATTCAGATTATATTTATGATGTCCTTTCTTGCTGTATGTATACATCTTGTCCGCGATCAAATACAATTTGGACTCCCGGTTCCTGTAATGAAATAAAAAATATATCTCAGTAACTATACTAACATATGGATTTATATGAAGGTTATATATAGATCAATTTGATTTCGTTAACCGATCGTGTAAATATTGAATGATTGCATATATTGTAACGTAATTGCACATTTTGTATCCTGAGATAAAACTTTGAAAATGAATTGGTCACAAATTGAAGAAACAAAACTTCCCAAGTTACAAGTTTCGTCGAATATGAGCCAATAAAATATGACACATGGAGATGATATCGATAGTCATTTCACTTACAATGAAAGGAAGTTCGTTCAGTTTAGCTTGCAACCGATTTTTGAATTCTGTTTCTTTTGGTCCAAAATCCCATGCGTTCAATGTCAGTTTTTTTGTAACATTTGGTAACAAGTTTAAGAAAATATTCCTTTCTGCTTCAGTTGTGTTTCTTCGTTTCATGAAGTAAAGACCAAAATCGAGTTCCTCTATCTAGATTTAGAAATCAAATATTTGTACAAAATATATATATTTAGTATAATCAATAATTATTTGTTTGTGCAAATCCATTCATTTCTGTTCATAACACAGAAATGACAGTATATATATATTTACATATAACAGAGATGATCACAAATTTTCCATAAGTTATATAGTTTACGCTATCAACAAATGTACCGATTTAAAAAAATATCATCCAAATCAATCACTTGCTGTGAAATAAATTAATACTATTGCATTCGAGGCTATTGAGTATTGCGTATCCTGATATTCACTCATATTTGTCTAGCCTAAGATAGTAATTTTCTATAAAAATTCCACCTTTGCGACTCCCAATCCTTCTGCAAATTTTGCAAGAGTTCTCTCTTCTAATTCACATTGGCGAACGAACAGAGTTTTCAATTGGCATTGTCCCACGAGTTGACCGACGTCGTAAAGTCCCCATAGCCCCATATTTCGATTTCTGCTTACGTTCAGTTTCGTTATCTGTTGCAAAATATTTTTGACAACATTTTTGAAATAATGATATTACCGATCACGACCGATTTTTGCCCTCAATACGGGTTGTGGAAATCTAGACTTTTTATAATAAAGCTTCGTCGACCACACATTTTGAAAAACGGAGTCGTTGAAAATCTCCACAATTTTTAACTATAGATAATTTATATACCATAGAACAACTCGATCAATAGAACAACTCTATAAATGACAATACCTAAATTAGGCGGTTTGGCTGCATTTACAGAGTTCGCGGAGCAATCAAAGCTAGTGAAGGTTTAAAATTAATCGTCGTTTCTCTGAAACTAGTTCAATAATAATTGTTAATTCACGACGTTCTCATACACACGATACAAAAAGATGAATGTATTGAAAGTAAACTAAATAGAAAAATTCAGAAGATATCAGTGATAAAAATGAAGGAAGAAAGGCAATAATTTGTTACATCGAATTAAAATCTTTCTAAATTCATAAACGTAACAATCGAACAATGCGAAAAGTACTTTCAAAACCTATTGCTAGGTTAAATAGATGTCGGATTAAAGCCCTACTAATGCATTAATACAAATTGCTAAAAGGGGTGTGATAGAGTCTATCAGATAGACCATTCCACCTAGTGAGGTGAGATAAAATAGCACTATTTTTAGTCTATACTAATTACTAACCAATATTATTTTTGAATTTGATCCTAATATATTGTACCTCAGCATTTCGTACTCCATGTTTGAAGCTCCTGATTTCTTGTGGGGATGGATCACATTCACTGACATCGAGTTCTTTCGTCTTGCACATGTTACCAATTTTTCCAAGTTCTTTGAAACCATCCTCTCCCAACTTGTCGTTTCCACTCAGGTCTATTTTTGTTAATTTTGCTGCCCCCTATAATACATTGAAAAATAAAAATTAGTTAAAAACAAGAATTGATAATAAAGTTATCTAAACTCAGGGAGGTTCAACACGAAGCCTTTTCTATCGGCTTTTACATTTCGGTTTAAACATTCCAGATGTGTATCTAGATTTGTGCAAAGAATTAGAAAGGATTCCGTTCAACTTTTCAATCAGAAAACATAGAATATCAAATATTTAATTTCTTCCTCTCGTTAATTGATTAAAATGAAAATCTTGTCGCGGCGAGTCGCCAATCGTTTTCTCTTTTTGGGCAAATAATGCTAAAGAAGGAAAAAATTTATACATTTTCATCGCATAAAGAGACTTTCAATGCCTCCATCTGGCCACTGGACAAGTTGCAGTATCCCATAATTAACTCTTCAGTTTCACAGTCTTTAACAATCCCACCAACTTGATTCAAGCAAATTTCGTTCATATCGCCGTTTCGGCTTAAATCAAATCTGCTAACCTGTGGATAGAATTTAATTAGTTTAGAAAACAAGTTGCTTCTGAGAGTTCAGTGGAAAATTTCATTGAAATATAAAAATGATTTATATTAGCTTATCAGATTAAACTTACAAATATGAATTTTGTAGAATTATGTTTTTTGCAAATTAAAACAAAATATCCCAAAGCCTCATGTAGACCTGTATACGGAACGATTTATGAATTGAGCATAAGATAATCATTTGTCAGGCTATATCACATTATCAATTTTATTACCGTGGAGGATAGCTTGCTTTACATAACCACCGCAGGTGGCATGAATTAGTTTAGCTAACTTTTTCGTGAATCCAGGCGAATAGTTTCGCCAAATCATCAGGTCATTCTTCTGCTATTTATACTTTTGTCAAGTAATTAATGACATCCTCGTCTCCGTCAACTCACCTTCCAGTGACCAAGCGATAATCTAAGTTTTGCTAATTTTTGTTCGGTCAAAGAGCAGGATGTAACAGCAAGGCTATTTGCTTTATACTTTTTGGTAATTTCGCCAATTTTTTTCCATCCATCCGGTTGTATATCTGTCGCAAGAAATACGTTTACCATTTGTATCTGTGAATAAAATTTTGATAAAATTCAAAGCTATTTTAGCCTGGACTTAGTCCTTAACGAGAGCTTAATGAAAAAATCTTTGCTTCGAGTTCAGTGGATGTGTTGAACTTTTTGGAGACTGTAAGCATACCGAATTCAACTTGAAGAATGTCTGTTGAAGATTCATGCGATTGATCGTGGAGGCTAATATAAACTAATTGTTTCTTGGATTTCAATGTTGATTTTTTTAAACTTAATTTGAATGTTCATCAATTTTTTATAAATTATCTGTCGAACTACAGTGTTTAAGTTAATCTATACTTTCTATTTCATCACTACGCCATGACACTGACACAAACCTTTTGTTCCGGAATAGTTTGCATAATTTGTTCCAGTTGCATCTCATTAAACTCACATTCAGATATTTTAAACTCTCCCAATTTTTTACAATTTTCTAGTAACTTGCAAAGCTTTGAAACATCGTAATGTCCTTCATATTCTGTCACGATCACATTGAAACTGTCCTGTGAAGTATTAATGCAAAATACTGCAATTCGGTTTTCGTTTAAAAAATAATCCGTATAGCGGTGCAGTTTTATTCATGTCAACGATTCATATGGTAGGTAGAGCCGCAATTCAGGGGAAAACTGTCCGCTGAACGGCGTTTTAAGATATATTGCCAGACTGTGTCACAGTGTAAAAGCACAATAAGTGGTTACCCGATAGACAACAAGAATATTTATTGCCCAAAACTAACAATATGACAACAAGTTATATTCATTCGGGTGCAGCCGTGCTTATCCGTGGTCTGTTTATCGCTATGCTGCATCATCGTATCTCCTAAATAATATACCGTTTTGTTCGCGTCTTCAACCAATTTTTCCAACGTTTGAAAATAATTTTCTACGTTATAGTGACTGAAATCCAGTACATTCTGATCCTTAAGCATGGTTTCAATTTGCTGTTCTTCCGTCGCATCTTTGAGTGTGGCATCTTCAACCACCGAAGCAGATTCCTGCAAAAGAAAGTCACTATAGTATAGGGTATATACGGCATAAGTGTATACTATACACTACTTTTTTAAATTTTAGAAAGTAATTTCCTTGAGGATTGTGAAATAAAGTCCGATACAAACGAGAAATGAAAAAATTAGCGTTTTGCAAAAATGGTGCACCAGACTATTTGCAAGCCCATCATATATTATGTAAAATACAGAATTAATATAGTAAATCAATACATTGTTATACCTCTGCCTCTTTTTCATCAAAATACAAGATATCTCTTTGTTTGAAACCACACTGCCAGTAATTCAATCCTTGACCACGAATGCAGATTTTGTGCAAGTAATACATGCTGTTTTTAAGAAGACTGCGATTGAAGCACACGTCAAACACTGTAATCTGAAAAACAAACATGCAACTGTATAGCAGAAAAATGAACATTTCTATTATATATGTTATTGTCAATTTTGATTTTAATTATTGGTAAGAGTATACATAAATAAGTACAAAGAATGGCAATGGACCGACTACATCATGCGTTATAGAAAACTTCTAGAACTATTGCTGCTATCGCCATATCATTAAAAGATCAATTCTTTGCATGTACTGAATTCTGCCCCCTTCGTGTCTAAAAGTGGTAAACGTTGAATCCAAGTATGTAATTTTCTCTATTTTTATGTCTCTTATATATGTCGTCTGTAATTATCACTACTTGTAATATTGAGTACCTCGGTAGGAGATTCTCCAAGACCGTCTGATAAAACTTTAAGATCGTGTATATTCAATTGACAATTGTCCAGCGCCATTATACTGAGCCGATCACAATGAAATGTAACACTCCCCAATGCATGAAGATCACTGATTGTAAGTGGAATTCCAGACAAGCAGACTTTTTTTATATTTGTTTTCACCAACTGAACAATTTTTTCGTTATCTCCACACTCACAAAGACAGATCAACAGGTTGAGCATTTGCATTGGTGGGATATTTCCATCCTTCAGCTCATTTTGAAGCGACTGCAGCAAATAATCTTGCTTCGTTTGAGCAATTTGTTGTGCGTGCTCTAAATTCAAAAATACGGACTTGGTAATAGATGAAACAACTCATCCAACAAAAAGGAATAAATACAGCCCAGTCAAAACAAACAATTTTAAATGAAGAACCGAATACATTATACGGAAATCTCGGGATTGACAAAAAATACGATACATACATGTACTTTGCTTTTATATTACGTGCCTTTTTAATTGGAAAAAAAAAAAAAATTATTTTCTTTTACAACGATAGGAACATTGTTTTGTCTATTCCTCATTAACATACTCATATATTTTGCGACTTCATTAACTTTTATCTTGCAGATTCTGTACTCTTACCTTCATTAGTACTTTTAACCAAACTCATTTTATCTGTACTTTTGTTAAACGTCAATCCACATAACATTTGTCGAACAACACCATATTTCGAAGTGTGGATCTGATTGTCAATCAGTTCCTCGTACTGCAATGAATCAAGATTAGCCAATTCACATGCTGCAAGCAGTTCTTGAATAGTTTGATGAACGAAAAAAAATGAGTAATCTTCTTCCAATAATTTCTGATCACAAACCACATTTTGGCTTGGAGTCGGAACACTGATTAGAAGATCTTTGATATCATCAACATTGATGCCGTTATTTATCAAATCATTCCTGTTGAATACGGCAACTCCTCTTTTCAAGCCATCAAGCGAAAGTTTCATTAGTTTCATAAGTACTTGCTTAATGTCCTTGTTCTTGAGATGTTTAGATCGCACATGGTTCTGTAGTATTGTCATGATGAGCCCTGAAAGATGTTCGGGTATATCATCTCCGCTCAAGTGCACGATAATAACAAATATTAGAAATAAAGGAGTCGAGCAAAGAAGCATGAGCTTGAGTGATTTTTTCAACATGAGTTCCAAAATTTTGTCTCCGCTGTCTTCGCCGATTTCTCTTACCAAGGTCATAATAGAATTTCTTGAAAGTCCTCTGAGAGCAATTGTGGCATCCGGTCGTATCTCACTTGGAAATCTGTTTATCCCGTATTCTCTTGATGTTAACAATATTTTGCAATGGGGAAATAGATTTCTACAAAGAATGTTGTAAATAATAACAGGCACAGGTGCTTTTTGGTCATAAGTAATCATATAGTGATACATGTCGTCATCCAACACCCAAGGAGTTGTATCCAAGCCATCCAACAATATCAGTAATTTTTTCTGATTTTCGATGTTTTTGAGCAGTTCGAATCCACATTTTACTGCATCGTCTCTTGCTATGTTAAATATGGAAAAAAGGATTTCTAAAGGAGTATATTCTCCATCCTTTAAAGACCAGTCTTTGATGTTTAAAAGATGAACTATCTCCACTTCTTTCATACATTCGACTTTACCATCTAATACCAAAAGACAGTATCGTTTAACGAGCGTCGTTTTTCCACTTCCTGCTCCACCGACGAAAACAACATATCTTCCATGCGAATGTATAGAAATGAGTTGAACCTCGACTTCCTTTTTCTTTTCTTTCGCCGTGAGTCTACCTCTTTCATTGGTGACTGAATATTCGACTTCATCCAATGCACAACCACCACGAAAAAAATTTGTTTTTGATAATTTTGGAACGACTTCTTTTTCTGGCTCTTTGAAGTCATTTCCAAACCCTTCCAAAATTGATGACTTTGCACGAAAACGGGATCTTGCATTCACGCCTTCAATGAACTCCCTTTCCATTATTCTATTGTGAGAAACATTCAAAAATAAATAGTATCAAACCTGAGAATTACGTATTCAATAATGAGGCAGAGAAGTAGCAAAAGAAGAGATAAAGTAGCTGAAATGATTACCGGTAATAACAGAGAAGTTTAGAAATGAAAATTCATGAACAATATTTGTATTTTAGGTCGTATTTATTACCAACAGATCGATGCTCAAATATATGGAAATGCAAAGCAAAGTATATTATCATCAATTCCACAAAAAGAAATTGCGGTACGGTAACTTACCAGTAGTCCAGTACCGTACATTACCAGTACCGATATTCGATAACGGAACCGCTTAATATAAGTTAAAAACGGTGTTCTCGTAAGAAAAAAAATACAGCGAAATTTTGAATATCATCAGACCGCATAAGATTCATAAGAAATTTAATAATAAATAAAAGTAATAGCTTTCTAGCAAAAAAAAATCAATCTTTAACGACTGAAATTTTCAAAGCAATTGGTCCAGTAATTAAAAAGAAGCGATTTTTTTCTTAGCGATAGACAGTGACGGAAAAAATAACATAATGAAAAAACTAGAGTATCGGTTAGAAACCGAAGACTTATCGATCGAAGGTTAGGGGATCCTCCAAAACACTGGTTTTACTCCATTGTGACACCGTGTGTCCCAACACTAATTAATTAATAACTCGCTAATTATAAGACATAATCCATCCAAATAGGCTTCTGATCCATTAATAGGCTTCTGATCCGAGCTATGATGAATGTACATGCAAAATTTGGAGCAGATTCAACCTCGCTTTCGTGAGATATCGCGTGCATCTAATACACAGACATACAGACAAATACCTATCAACATACTTACCGATCTTAAGATCGATAAGTAATATTACAAGGTCCACTAAGTTTCGAGTAATACCAAATTGCAGAAATGCGATATCCAGGAAACAAGTAGAGTATGTATATTATCCAATCAGTAAAAATAATAGTAGTTTCAAGTTCAATAAGTAAATTGGGATGAATATATGTATATACGATTTAGTACCCAGCGCCGGATTAACCATTAAACAATATAAGCGCGTGCTTAGGGCACCAAGAAAAGAGGGGCACCACAGAAATTTTATAGCAAAATTTTATATAGTTTATCGGTGTTTATTAAAATATTACGAGTTCACCAGATAACTTAAACTTCAAAATTTTCTTTTATTTTTCGCTTTCAAGTATATTACTAATATTTTTCTATTAAAAATAAACACTGAAACTTATTTATTGGACACGAAATGAGCCTATGAGTCACTTTCCTAAATTGGTATTGTTTTTTCTCCCCAGTGTTCTCTCCTTGTTGCTGCATTTTTGTTATAAAAAAATTCTTTTCTCTTGAACTATTCAACCAATGAGCTTTTACAATATGTGTTGGTACCGCGATCGTATTTCAACGAGCTAGCGGTCAGCGAAGTCGGGAGTTTTTTGATAAGGTAGACCAGGGTGTCCCAAACCCTGTCATGCTGATACATTTCGTGCGGGCAACAGAACAATTTTAGCGTATATTAGTATCTAATAGCAGAACGATTTTTGATTTTTTAGCTATTCCAACTAGGGTTGCAATCCCGAAATTCAAACCCTTTTTTCTAACGTTTTGTGCCTTTATTTCAGAAAAAAACAGTCCTCTGTTTTGAAGCGTGGGCCATGTGACAATATTGACGAAACGCAGAGCCGACTTCACGCCGCGCAATCCAGTTTTTTCAGCTAGGTCCCGAAATACCAACTTCGACGGACTTGAATGGTATTTGACGATGACACTATGTTTGCTCACGCTGCAAGATTTCAAATTATATAAAATATAACAATTTGTAATAAAAATGAGTGTCCCAAGAAAGGTAACATAAGGAAAACAAGGCGGAAACGTATTTCTTTTCCCACCATACAGTGTCTGGTTTACTTTCAAGTAATATCTGCCACGAAAGAATATAATTTAAGGCGACATTAAACGCGAGGGAAAAAACAACGGTAATTCTCTGAAATTAATTTTAAAATAACTAAAGTCTTTATATATCTTCTTTAAAAAAACGGCACCCATGCAACATAATAATAGTCTGATTAGAACGTAAACTCTCGTTGTTTTATGAAATTTGAACTACAGTTGTGACTTTCCTTTGGTATTTCGATTCACGTTGAGACTGGACTCATGAATCTTCATTATCACACTCCTACGGGATTAGAGCTCAACCGATATATCAGCCCGATATTGCGTGTTTGTCGATATATGATATCGGCAGTAAACGGCCGATATATATCGGTTATATATATATAACAGCTAAAAATCCTGAAAATATTAAAAGTTGTTTTATTTACTGTTGGTTGTGATTACTTGTGATGGATAATACGCTTATTTGGTTTCATTGTTTTTATAATTAAATTACACATAAGGGGGCATCAAAGTCTTCAGAGCTTAGGGCACCAAAGGGGCATAATCCGCCCCATGTGAGTACCCCAAATATAATTTATAGGATAACACATGCAAATGCATACTTTAGTTATTTTAATAAATTGTCCTGCTATAACCAAATAGAAGAAATATCTATGTTATAAAATCTTGGTTTCGACCCCATTTCTACATAATGTTGGTAAAATACAACAGAAATATTTGAATCCATCTCAACATTCGAAATCGGACTTTAGGTTTCCTTCCTATATTTCCCCAAATTTTATAATTATACCGCATTTGTCGCACACACTTTTGTATTTTTGTGAATTTTATCTACGCCTCAAGCTCCTTTTCACGATGTATATAAAACTCATTTTCAAAAATTGTGAAAAATTCTGGCTGTCTGCTGAAAACTATACGAGATTTGGGCCGGTCACATTCTTGCTTTATATTCTAAATTATGGTTTCTATATATGACTGAAAGAATCAATGGCTAATAAGCAATACCGGTAAGTGTCAGTTCAGTCAGCCGGTCTGGAATACAAAGTAGAGCAACAGTCTCACTACTTCCTCTGTGTCTACCAGACCATATCAACGTATTCAAGTAAACCAGCGCATTTATATCGGACTTGTTGTTAATATATTTCAAACAATATTCAATACTTCCTTAATTGATACATCACGTGGAAGGATTTCAATTACGGTACGGTTATAGTTGTCTGATATATCATAGTGTAATCGTCATGACAGATAAAATATCCGAACATCTAACCAAGCTAAAACTCAATTATACCAAGATCTCTTTATACCTCTGAGGTCAGATTACAAAATGAGACAGGCAAGCAAAACATCGATAAATACACCGCACGAAGCCTCTGTATGTCAGTCGTTGCTATATGTATATCGTGTTGCTAACGTAATCAATTTTATTCAGTCCGCTTGGTATTTGTGCAACCTACCATGTAGTGACTAACAATACCTTCTATGATTGTAAAGTTTTATCGCCACAAAGCCAAGCAACCCACGGAAAATACTTGTTTGACCTGAACGTAACAATATCCTGATACATAAAAAGGGGAATTTGTGTGTATACGCTGTAGATCAGTAGTCTATGCTCAAACCATAGAAAAATATGATTTACAATATACATTCGACGACGCTTCAGAAGTGTGTGTACCAATATGGAGATAACTAATTTTGTTCGCCTGTTATGCATCAAGTTGTATGAAGGAACTGAACCCTACCTGATCTAAGCTGAATGGAACATTTGTGCCCCTTTTGAATATAAAATCTAGTGACCTAGGTTTAGAATGTCGGTTAGAGTTTTGTTTTGAAGATTTTTCCATTACCTACTTGACAATACCAGAACAAGCTCGTTACGGCGATTGAAAGTCAAAAAATAACGTTTTTATGTGCATCAAGATGACGCACAACCTGACAGGTTGTATGAGAGGCGTAGGATAAATGTGTAAACCATGAGGTCTTGTTTTGGAAGAATAGCTCATTTCCTACCCAGCAATATAAGAATGAACGTTATATGACATTTGGAAGTGATAAAATATCGCTTACATTTCACGCGTGTTCTTGAAAAACCCGCTGCGATAGAAAAACGTCGCACGACAAGAAAATAATTCAATAATACTTTGCGTTGCGCGCTAACCAATAACAAAATCTAGTATGATAAGGACTTATTTTGAAGGTCATTTTATATGCTACATAACATAGGAGAGTGGCCATCTCACAACGTCAGAAAGTTAAAAGTCAGGGGGCATATTCGCTTGGCTAACACAGACAGTCCCCGAACTCGTAATAAAGCTAAAATAAGCAGAATCGGACTAAATGATGGCATGACCCGAACCTGGCACACGTAATACGGGAGTACCCACTCGACATATCCAATGTGTACTGTATTAAATATTTCATATTATATTTTAACATAAATATTTTCATCTTCAAAAATTTAACTTAGAGCAAGCCAACGCTGCTTGCTGATATTCTGCTTAGTTATTTGATTGTACTATGCATTGGCATTTGATAACCAGGCCGAGTTCCGTAAATGATCTAACTACACATACATTGGTAATCTCTTAGAAAGGCAAAACCATTGAACAAACGTCAACGACCTTTAAAGTATTATGAGTTCTAAGAATTCGTTGGCAGAAAAATATTTACTTTGTTTTATCATTAATTTTTGAAGCAATGTCAACATTTACTCTACCCCACAGGTTCTCATTTTCATCGCCTGCACCATCACTTTGACAAGGCTGTATTCATGCTGTAACATATTAAGTGAATATATGTGAAATTTTCATCATTTGAATTGTTACCGGTACCTGCATTGAAAATCTTCCAACTCTATTATGAATAATATCTTCGAACACCAAGTGGTCTATATTGTTGAAATTCGGAAATTTTTGTGGTTGTCATTCTTGTTGTATAGCTGAGATGAAAATTGTCTTTCAACAACATGGATAATCACTTTTCAATTTTTAACAGTCAAGAATGGAAGTATTTTTAAAGTGGCTATTACATCTATATACATCTGTACAAAAGATCCAAAAGTTCCAGTTGAGCATTAGGTTTATCAAATAACTCGACGAGCCTGATTTCAAATAGTACCACGTGGTGGCGTGCTGGGAATAAATTACAAAAAAAATTTATTACGTAAATTTAAACTTTGTGAACCTGGATTAGTCTTTTGTAATATGTATTTATGATACTATTTCTGTTATAAAGAAACAGTTCGATTTATATGTAATGAATTTTTTAAATCTTGTTATGGCCAAGCAGTTGTAAAGTAGTGGATCAAAATCGTTAAATTCATAAGTTTGCGATTATAGTCACCACATCACAATTCAAAATTGAATGTAGCAATATCGACTCGACCTTTTAGAAATCCGTCATCTACAAAGAGTACTTACATAGCACAGTGCACTCATTTGATTCTATCACTTTCTATTTCCAGTTAGTTTCGTCATCCAAAGCAAATATAGGTTGTCAATTGATTTTATTATTCATATAGGATTCGGATAAATTGTAACGCCATATATGAAGAACACAAGAATATAGTATAATGGTACAAGATTATACAAATCCCTTGAGCAAGCGGATAAAAATCAGCAAAGCGAGGGCTAACAGTTCCAATGAGAACCATTGTATGTGGCCCAAAATTTTAATGAAAATCATACGGAAAACATGCTGAAAAAATCAATACAAAGATGATTATTGAGATTGCTTATTAGCACTACATTGTGCAGCATACAATATCAAATAGATACGTAGTAGACAGAAAGAAAAAAAATGGACGGCAAATTTTATTTAGACTTCCGTTTCGACATACTTGAAAAATTGTAATAAATAAAAGCTTACCTACAGTCTAAATGTCTATTAAAAGTCTATCGAAATTTGCTGAAAGACATTCATTGCAAATTTCATTTAGCTTCATTAAGTTCAAATCATTAAGCTAAATTAAGTTCAAATATGATCACAATACTGATTAAAAACCATAGCTTCTTCCACGTGATTTAATTTTTTATACTGTCAAACTTGAAACAAACAATCATACAATTAAAAAGTAAAAGAGAATTCCAATTGCCAAGGCGTAAACGGAAACGACGGGATTGAATCCAGCAGATCCCCACTTTTCTTGACATAATTCATACTGCTCTATATCTTGCTCCGTGATAGCACATAACTGGAAACGTTGACATGTCTCGTTACATGGATCCGTATTATAGGAAGCAGAATTGTGTAGCTGGTATAACGTAAATTCTTTTGGGCAATCGCTAGAATCTGCTTCACATTTATCTCTCATTTTCTTCGCCAGTGTTCCCCACGAAGTAGTAGATACATCAGGAATATTATAGCTCTCTGTAGCTCTATACTCCAACTTCCAAGAGTCTTCATCTGCGGAGGTTTCGGTGTTTGCTTCTTCGAGATTAAGATAATATTGTTGGAAATCCTATAAAAATACGAAAGTATAATTATGCGGCACTAAATTCCTTCAAAAATCTATAAGAATAAAATGACCACAAAACGGTATATTTAAATGAAATTTTTTTGGAAAATTTGTGCTTTATTGTATTTTTTCTCAATGAAGACATTCCTGTATACCATATAGTATCCTAAATAATTTTCCGAAGGTCTGTAAAAAATTTATAACTAACTGTTTCACCTCGATCCATCCAACCCCCATGCTATTTTATAATAACAGGTTCAAATTTGCACTTCGCATTTCGGGCTTCAAAAGTTGTATGGAATATACGGTTAGATATGTAAAAGTTTTTTAAACAAGAATGAAACAGAACAGAAAGGAAAAGTACCTTTAAAAACAGTGTGTCTTTGTTGTACTCGAAAAGGCGAATAGCCGGATTGTTTGATCCCTTATTTACTCCCGGTAAAGTCGTCCGCCATGGAGTCACAGCGGGAGTTAACAACATCGAAGCTATCTGCAAAATAGTATACATACTTTTAATTTAAGTCACCTACTTCTAATTTTTTGTGAGGCGTAGATAATGAATTAAATCGAGCCAAAAGAGCGAGCATATTTACGAATATTAATGGTTTGATATCGACAAATATCTGATATTATCTGACCCTCATCAGCTTTATCTAATAAGGCTTGTTGACTGAGGTATTGAACAAAAAATTAGTCTTCGCTAATATTTCCAACCGTATTGCCACTGCCATCCTTGAAGATCTTGAAAGTATCACTGTGGTGATGTCCGAAGAACTGTCCTGAAATCACATCAGCATATGTTTGTATAATACTGATAAAACGTTTGTTATATTCCGGATAAAACCATCGCTTGGGAGAGTTTGCGGCAAGTTCGAAATATCCTGGCGGAACGTGCCCAATGATGAATACCTAAAATTGACAATAATTGCGAAACCATCAGTATTTGAAATAGTGACTTTGCGTGATTCAAGTAAAAGAAATGCTATTCAATGCAAAAATTCTTGAACTATAAATTTTTATAGACATATGGAAACTAGGGTTTGTTTAAATTAGGCAAATTCCAAGATAGATGTAATTGATAGATGTAATGAGGCAGTAATTGTCTACAGTTCGAAATTTACCTTGTTTCGGTTTGACTAATAAATTCAACGTTTCTCGAGATATGCTCAGTCAGCAAAAGCATGGGGCACCTAGAACTATGAATCTAGTTCTGATAAAGAAATGCAGAACATATTTGTTTGTCATGGGATGAGCAATTGCTTATTAGAATTATCTTATTTGAAGGGGACTTGAATTCAATATTATCGCCGGTATTAAAGTCTCTCTACTCAACTTTGAACTATCGTTTTTAATACATTCAACTTTTTGAATATCAAAATACTTTTCTCCACCGATTTTACAACCGTTTCTTAGTTATATATTCATACTGTATATCCGAGTAATAGTTTACTCAAGAAACGTAGCTAAAATGTCGAAGGGTCTGAATTAAATACCTATTGATGATGCGAAAAAGGTAATCTGGAAAAAACAAAATTAATCGACTAAATTATATTCCATTGACCACCACACGATAGTCTAAAACCGGAAGCCGCAAATACGGGGTCGCGACCCAAATACGGGTCACGAAACCCTCCAGACTGGGTCGCAAACCAATTTAAATTTGCTTTATCAGTTACTGCCGTAACATTGGCCAATCAGCATAAGTCAAAAATTGGCGTAACAATAAACGATTTAGCAGCCACTCCGACACTTTTGTGTCACTCAGACAGATTTTCATGGTTGTGAATATTACATCGTTTTTGCGTGCTATTTTAGGGTCACTATATCCGAAGAAACAAAATCCATGACAAAATTTTAATGAGCCACGTTGACCAATTTTGCTGCCAAAACACTTATATTATGGTATAAATTCACGATGTATCCAAGGCAAAGGCACAAGCTGTCGTCGCTTTTTCGTGAGGATATATATAATCAATAACGAACAAAACAAAAGAGGCAAAATTGTTGCCTATAATCTTAAGCACTAGTAACTAAACCCCAGCACGGAATAAAGTAAGTTACAGGTAGTGCTACCGAAATACCGATTACAAATGCTGGTAATTCAGGTCATATGTGACATCACAATTATCTGAATGCAACGCAATCCGTGTTGCACAAAAAAGCTTGCATGCGTGACATATCTCTGAAAAAATAGGATTTCGTGGATGCGCAATATCTGAAAACTCGAAGATTTGTAGCAGGAATTCCCTGTATTCGGAAATCTCTGACATTTACGCACTTTTTAACATTACTCCCTGGCCCAAATTTGACCACTAAAATCTCGGGTTACCATATCGAAATTCGGGGAAACATTCATCACGTCGTTATTTGCATTGTTATCCGACTACGTAGTCAATTGTATTCTTTTGTATAGCAATGCGAGGTAGGCAGTAGTTGTGTGGAATTGCTTGATAAGACAGATAATGAGATTTTATGTGCTAAGTTTCATATAACTTGCTGCAGGAAACTTGATAGTGTCAATAATTATTTCAAAATCGACAACTATTTACCTGCTTACCAAATTCTTGGGTCGCGAGAAATTAGGAAAAAATTTTTTGGGTCACGCCAAAAAGTAGTTGAGGACCCCTGGTCTAAAATCACCTTCTGCGAGTTTTGGCTCGCACTCTTCAAAGATTCCTCCAACCAAGCAAATTCACCGCCTGGGTCACCCGTTCCATCCACCACTTTGTTACTATCGTACCAGAAATTGCTATTCAACGCTATTAAAACGTGCTTCCCATTTGGGTCCAAGTTTTCTTTGTAATAGCCCTCTGCAACAGATACATATGTATATATTCTCAGCTATTCAAAAACATGTAATATCCAAAGTCATAATAAAGTTTTTGCCACCTACATTTAAATAAAGAAATGAGGAAAGATTTGCGAAACGAAATGTTTTAATGACCTGGGAAATATAATGAACTCTATTCACAGAATGTTTTATAATTCCCATTTCCTGTACTGAATAAATAATAAGATTTATCCAAAATGCTAGTACCATTCTTTATGATAATTAGCTATAATAACTGTTTTTCTATAATTAAATCAATTTGAGCATACTATACGGTATGAATATACCCTGGAAATGAAGCCTCATTTAACTTACCGCGTTTAAAGGATTCGTAGGCGTCTGCTGTAAGCCAGTCTTGCCATATATTTGCGAAAGCAGTCAACATAGCACTTCCCCCAGGCGGAATTTGACTTTTTGGATGGTAATCATGGTTTCCAAGAGCAGGATAAAATTTAGTATCTGGAAAAACTTCTCGCAGCAATGCCGTGATATTACCGACAATCTCAATAACTTTGTCAACTCCTAGATATTTATCTTGGTCTGCGGTATGCAAAGAATCATCTCTGTGAAATAATTTAAATCTGACATGACACATCAAGGATTCTTGGTTTTTCGCATGAATTTTTTAATAAATAAAATGTAATAAATTGTTGCAATAATTAGTAGAATTTGAATATGTCATGAATTTATCTAAAAACAGTTTTTCATAGGGATTCTTTTGTGCTGACGCCCTGACTTGCAGGTGGAGTCTTCAAGTTATGTAGTATTTGAGTGACAAATTAGTGCACAGACAGATTTGTGAATAAATGGTTGCGCAAACGATTGCGAACTATTATAGGGATTTTTCAAATAAAATGGTGTGCATTCCTTAATTGAGTATATCAATATGTACAGTAAGTGGTTGCATTTTGTTCAATATTGAACGTCGATCGTTTGCAACTTCTTCTACCTACCACACTCTACATATTCTTAAAATTGTCATAAAGACCGGGACTGAAAAAAGCTGTCATTTTCATGTGATTTAACAGGATTGATGATTTCAATTAATCTATATTGAATATGAAGATTTCAACTTCTTACCCCGTCCATATTATGAAGTCTGGATTTGGTTCAATCTTTTTCATTGCGTAAGCCGAAGAATTGATCAGTTTCCATGGTGAATCACATCTACAATGAGTCAATAATAATAAAGATGCGACATTAGCAATATTTTACCTACGCAGTTTAGTATTTATACCTTTTGCTTTCGGTCGGTTGATCAGATTGAAAGATTCGGTTAAATGCAATTTAGCATAACATCCCGGATGTTAGCTAAACCGGTTGATACCGGTTAACTGTTAGCACATTTCAAATCTTATGTAGATTTTTAAAGATATAGGCATGCTTCGAAGAATTGCGGTGAGTAACTGTAATGTCTGATCATGTGCGGATCGCATAAGAAAACAGTTTTGTCTGGGAAGGAATTATGATGAAATTAATTTATATTTGTGGATTTTCCCTTGATCAAGGTACGATCTGAAATACTTTGATCAGCATTTACTGACAGAATTGCCGCACAATTTGTAAGTTGAAATACTTTAAGCAATATCGTAAAGCAAAAAATGGGACCTCATGGCATCGTCTTTATTTAAACAATTAGGATATGATTTGTATACCTTTGTTTATAATTTTAAATCTTTACTTACACATAGTCACCTAGGGGACCGGCGTCGGTCTGACGTCCATACGATGAAGGACACACTTCCATTGGAGTTTGTCCATTTTCTGTATAATACGGATCCAAATGATGGTCACTGATGTGCCAAAATGTCCCCGTGTTCTGCGATCGCGCGTTAAGGACCAACATGGTATACACGAAAAATAAGGAGCAAATCCATCTGGCGCGATAACGCATTTTCAATTTGTATATACACTGCAACAAAATGGCAAAAATTGAGAATAGATGTAGCCCAATTTTGTTTACAAGCATACATTATTAACACATGACATAAATTATTACGAATCTATCGATCTTTTTTTACAATTACAAAATTCAGCACGGGCTGGACAAAATAATACTGTTGGCCATACAGTGAGCGAACGATACGTGCTGTGTATTTTCTATCCGGAAATCTTTTTAGCAATCTATATAGAAATTCAACACTTTCATAATATTGACTTTAAAATTGTTAAATTGCTCCATGCTTTATTATCCGGCTTACCGGTTGATTCATACAATAAATATAATCACTGAAAATTGTTGCATACTTTTTGAGTTGAGCGTTCTGTTCAATAAATTGTGAACACTTAATTACTTAAAATATTAGAATAACTGTGCGTCATTACATCGCGTGAGATTTTTGTTGAGGGTGGACCATTCAAAAATGAATATATTATACCCCTAAGAAGTATAGGTGTTTTAAAGATCAAAGAAGTGATAGAATTAATTCCTCGCAGCAGTTATCATTTTACAGTGTCAAAGCGTTTTGGTCGTTATAAAGATATTTGAAAACAAAAATCCCTATTTCTTTCCATGTCTAGTTGCCAAATGCGACTGTCTGCGTCGGCGCTTACTGCGTTCTCAAAATAATTCAATGATTCAAATATATCCTTCCAAAACGTACACATATTCATCTATAGGGCGAGCCTCAACTACAGCGTAGAAAGATTATTAGTCACTTTCTGCTTGCGCAATGACTCGTCATATGAGGAACCATATTCGATATAATGCATACATCGCAACCACTTGATTCGATATGCTATTTGCACAGCATTGAAATGCGGAAGAGCCTGTCAATAATATACTGTACCACGAAAATCACCAACGAGGACTATTTCAAAATAACAAAATATTTAGCGAGGCTGGGTGTTAAATTTGTATTGTAATTTGTATGATTTTCAAGTCATCGTTGCTCTTTAACTAATTAAAAAATCATTTAGTATCAAGGCACAAGAACTATTCGACATGTACCCTTGGAAATCCGACCCATGTAACCTATTACCACGTCTGCTTCTAACTGCTGGGATATAATCAGTCATCTGTTAACTAATGCTCAACCATAAAATGTTAGTTCTGCTGGTTGGGATCGTCGTGCAATACCAGATACGGTACCAATCCTCAATGTGAGTCAGTTTATTAGGCACCCAGGCACAAAAAAATGGACATTTTGACAACTAGATGTAATGCAGTCAATAATAAGGCCCTAACTCGCTATTCCAGACGATCCGTAACCATTTCAGTCGCAGTGCTCAATATCGACTAGCAAATTACTTCAAACGAAGTCATGAACGCACCATCGCATTCTATTACACAACGGCACTGCGAAATCACGAACAGTTGTTATTATTTTACTGTTAAAAACGGCGAATACTAGATTGCAGTCGATTTCTGTTGTGCAGATTTTGAAATTTACAAATATCTAAAATTGAGTCGACTTATACACGGACTAGAGTAAATATTGAACATTTGATTTCCAGCGTAAAAGTAAAGTTTAGCGGGAACTATTGACAAAAATATTAATGTTTAATCAGAGAGATTGAAATACAATCATTACATTAAACACTTATCGAATTATATAAATGTTAAGAAGTGCTTGCGCCACCATTGGGCACTATTCTGTTATTGCCCTGCTTCTAATTTTCTTATCTATCTCCCTATAGATTCTGGCTTAGGTTAGAACAAGTTGGATTGTTGTCCCAAAAACAAAATCAGACAAAGCAGATCGGGTTAACCTGCTTATCGATTCCTGATTTTGTTGGGGCTTAAGATTGAGAATTCCAAAATTATTTATTACCTAAACTAATTTTTTACGTCTACATTCTTGCAAATGAGATGAATGCAAAAATTTGTTTAGAGATTGCATTTCCCAATTCAAGATCGGCATTTGTTTCGAGTGAGTTCGCATGACCTTACTTTGAGAAAATATTAATAAAAAGGTTTGAGTTAGTTTTGAATACACTCTTGACTTTGGAAGAATTGAATTTGGCTAAACGGCAGAATGGCCATACATCACCAGTATTTTCATAATTTACGCTAAAAAATGATTAGCTAAAAAACCGACTCTATCGCCGTAATTTATACCAACACTATCAATGATGTATTATCATGGGCAACGAACTCTTAACACCTCAGACTGTTTGCTGAAATATTATCGGGAATGTGCGTAGGCTTTAAAAAGGGGTTGTTGCATTTCTCTTCCAAAATAAAACTGTAAAACACGAATGCTGCACCACGTATGATAACTATAACCGATTGTTGTCTTTCTCACTATTCTAGTAAGAGTTTATATTTCTCTAAGGTGCATGTCTTCAAGGAGTCTATAGCGGTGTGAATATCATGATCAGTAAAGAGATGGATATAAATACAAGGCCTACATGAGGAAGCGCCGGGCGTTTTCGAAAAAGCGTTGGGTGAAAGGAAGAAAGCGACATGTAATACATCAGAACCTCTGGACTTTCTAGACCAGGGTTACTCAACTATTTTTACCGAAGATCCGCATACAAAACTTCGAGATTATTTGGGTCCCGTCTTTCCAGAAATTATATTTCGGCATCCTTAAAACCCCCTTTCCTCGACCGGCTAATGATTATTAACTAATCAAGATTGTTTATTATGGTGTTATAGTTCTTTTCATATATATTCAAAACTATAAAAGTCATTTTATAAAAGGAAACTTCAAAAGTGTGGCTAATGATACAAAAAAAAAATTAGGTGCGGTCTGAATCAAATACTGGGAAGGTCCGGATTCGGACCCCTGTCTGCCAGTTGAGTAGCCCTGTTCTAGACATTCACTGAGACGCTCAATGCTAATACAGCAAGGCAGCAGCATGGTCCGACAACTTCCTGAAGCTGACGACACTTTCCGTGTGATCTGACGCTTTCCAGAAGTAACACTCTTTCCCATATCCCCCTCTCAATAATTATAAATGCCAATACAACTTTATTACAAATGTCTCGACGCTAACTCACGTATTCGATTTGAAGGTGAGTCTGGTTATAAAAATCAACCAAGTGCAAACTCCGAAATCTCATAATCTCGTTTGAAACTTTTATGCCATAACAGAAATTTGAATAACTAAGATTTGTCAAAATTAGACAGTTTGCCAACGTTCTTATATTAATTACTCTTTTTCCTTTCTGAAGCCAATAAACACACAATATCTATGTTGTCAAATGTACATATATTGTAAATTTACACAATCGTATTAAAAAATTACAAGTTACAGATAAGGAAATACGCTATGACTCATAATATAAGGTCCAACACTATGAAGAAAAAAACAGTAATATCAAGGCAAATAACTATTGAGCAGAGACACAAATAAGTCATCAACTTCTTTGGCATAAAAAAATGCATGAAAATTATATAGGAAATAGATTCTGGCCTTGTTTCAGGAAAATATCGTTCACTGTTACCAGTCAGTAGTTGAAGGTACTTTATTCCACAGTAACTACATCAGTTCACATGGAAAAGTTCATGTTTGATTTTTTTTCAAAGATTGGGGAATTTATAGAAGTTTTCAATCACAATCTCAACTTTCATTCTATACTTGTAAAATGTTGTCCACATTAATAACTTTCCAGCATATATCTCGGTGCATTAGATCGGAGATCGGACAGTGCGACTGACTAATTCAATTACACATAATCACTTGGTAGTTCGTAAGGTTATCGCTTCGTTGCAATATATGGCCTTGTTTGCCTGTTAGTTTAGATGAGACCATATCGGAGTATAAATTGTTCTTTGAAAATTAGTCGATTATGCCTTTCATATTATATTGCCAATTATATCTTTGGGCCTTGAAATGAATTGGATGACAATATGAACAAGATGGTGATGCCACAAAGAGTTATGAAAATAGCCAGGTACGACAACGACACTACATATATCTATAACGAAATTCTAGGTAACAACTAATGGTGTTTTGGGAATTCTTGCCTTGTTCTTATGGCAATGAGCCTACTTTGCAGCTGGACTATCACTACCGCGAATTTTATCTTCAAAGGCCGAATGTTGTGCACCCCTTGGTTGATTGATTGAAACATTAAATAAAATGAAAGTTCAAAATTTGCCAGCTAAAAATTGATATGCCAAATCATTTGAGAATGTTTTTAGTTGCAGTTCTAATTGAAAAAATTATGGATATCATCATCACTCATTCTTTTGATGTATTATATCTAGGTTCTTCTTGGTCTGTCTTCGGTCCTTCTCGGTCTGTACTCGGTCCTCCTCGGTCTGAACTCGGTTTAATATAATTTTGATTCCTGGTTTCTGAAACAAGAAATTCTATAACAGCATTTTACGAAGGAGTAGTTATATCATTTTGAAACTAAGGTTTAGCTGTATATCGTACGGTTGTCGAATATTAGATTAATCTTACCATTCGTTTTTATATCAAAATGCAAATCGCAAATTTGGTGGTGACATGCTACACTTACAGTTGATAAACCCGATTGAATCGTAGAATAAAGACTATTTATATTTTTTTTTATCTCCATCATTCCTAAACATCAAAGAAGAATTTTGCTTCATGTATCAACTTCGGTGAATAGAAGATTGAACAAATTTGTCAAGAATGAAGGTAGTTGTGGTAGCAATTCTACTGATATTTATTGTATTTACTTCGAATGGAAGTTCGTTCAATTTATTTTGCAACCGTTCCCTATATTCCTCTTCTCTGTCTCCAAAACACCATCCGTTTAATGTCAGTTCTCTTGTTATATTTGGTAACAAATTGAGCAACATGTTTATGTCGTCTTCTGTTGTTTCTTTTGGTTTCATAAAGTAAAGACCAAGATCAAGATGTTGTATCTGAAAAAAAATACTCATTTGTACTCGTTTAAACACATTTTCCACATAAATTTACTCATTTCAAATTAGTCGATCATGAATAGAAAAAATCATAAAATCATAAATAGTGGACAAATTGTTTGCGCAATTTTTCCATACTTACCTTGGCTTAAAAAACACGGTGATTTTCTATACAAATTTACCTTTGAGTTTCCCATGCCTCTTGCAAGTTCTCCAAGAGTTGTATGTTCTAATTTGCATTGTCGAACAAGCAAGGTTTTTAGTGGACATTTTTCCAAGATTTTCCCTACTCCATAAAGTCCAGCCCCGATATCTGGATTACTACTCACGTTAAGTGTTGTAATCTAAAGCAGAAAGGGATAACATCAAAATATGGAATATATTATTTCAAACAATCGTCGTTGGATATACTTGTCTTGTTGTTGGCAATAAAAAATCCGGACCATTAGTCTATATATAAACACAGGGCAATTTATGTTGAGATAAAAGAAAAGTAGTGTGAAAATAAAATAAATAAAACAAAGTTGAGAAATTCAGCCCATTCTGATTTATCTGTCAGAGAAAAAGGTGGAAGGCTATTCTAGAAAGTAGAACACCTAAAAATTGACATAACATTTTGAATTATATACGTTATAGCGGTTTAGTAAAACTCAATTTTATTTCGTTAGCTTTGTAGAGATATCAGCAATCAACCTATCAAAAATCATCCGAAAAAATGTGTCCTTAATTGTAGTAAACTGTCGCAAGATGTTACGGGGTCTTTGAACGCAAATAATACATAAAACTCTAATGGCAATTTACGTATTGTCATGTTTGGCAACTCATAACGTTATCACCAATTCGCTGTTTATCATCACATTATATTTTATTGCGTTGTACTTTGCACATACAGACTGCTCATTTTGCCGACTGCAATATGTCACAATCGGATTATTAGTGGTAAAGTTATTATGATCGATATATTCGATCTTGAGTCTAAGGATGTAAAATGTGAGATTGGTTCATGCTTTAAAAATGATTCTCGCAGAGCCTCATCAGCTATGGTTATATAATTTATTCACACCTGAGGGGAATGCAGTGCTTCACTAAAACTTTCAATTTCTTCTGGTGATGGATCACATTCACTGACATCAAGTTTTTCGGTTTTACACATACCAGTGATTTGTCCCAGTGTCCTAAAACCATCTTCGCACAATGAATGATTTCCACTTATGTCGATTTTACCTAATTTTGGTGCTTTCTGAAATACGTTGAGAAATGGATTGATTGAAATGTTGGATTGAACGAGAATATAGGGACAAACACATTGAATAACATAATGAATTTTTCGAGAAGAATAAAGTTGCGTTAAAGTGTAGGTTTCTCGGGGATATTACATAACCCAAATAGGGAACAACTTTGTATCAAAAAATAATAGCAGTGCAACAGTCGTAGTTTTCTAATCTCCTGTCGTCAAGAAGGACAGACTGCTCATGGGCGCGATAAATTGAAGCATCAATTCAGTGGTTCCCAACCTCAGTGCCGCGGTATATCATTGTGCCGCAAATTGATTTTGGTGTGCCGCAAAGAGATTTCATATTTGAATTTATTTCCAAGTTATTCCAATTTCTTGAATTCCGCGAGAATTACCCCACGACTCATGCTAACGAACCAAAATGACAAATTTGAGTTGTATTTGGGTATTGTTTCAATAATAAGTTTTGCATTAATCACACCAACCCCGTTTTGCAAATTGAAAATGTCAACCAAGGTAACAAATTATAGTGCGAAATTTTTCCCAAATTTTACCAAGGAATTATTATTTGACTAGTAGAATTGCCATTATTGTCGCTTTATTGAATCATAATTTAAACTCAAAATAACAAAATAACTTTGCCGGGTTTTTATCCATTATTTAATACGAAAATAAACAGACACAATAGAAAAGTAAAATTATAAGAAGGTCAACTATCGCCTTCATAGATATCCGTATTCCGGGGTCAGAAATGGTAATATTGTTAATTAGATTTAGTGAATTGCACTACTTCACGAAAGCGTGGTAGAATTGGCGAATATTTTATATCTCGAACACAAAAACGGTTTTCGTTTTCGAATAGTTTCTGTGGTCTGAAAAGTCAAATAAACGTTTCGACATAGTAAATGCTATGATCATTGCCATCAATATATTCTCGGGCCTTGTACGAAATTCATAACGTGAAAAGATACACCCAGCGGTTTATAACAACTTTAAACCAATTTAGTGTGTTTATCGATAATAATTATTTGTTGTAATGAAATACAGTTTGTTTGCCATTTTCATTTCTCTCGCAAGTGCCGACAATTACACTGTTGAATGTTTTTGGCAATGGCAGAAACATATCAAATTGTAACAAAAAGAATTATATTGTGCAAATGTGAGAATACCTGTTATAATAAAGAGGGCGTAACGCGGAACTCGGCTAGGCGAGCAAAACCGAAGCTCCCGCGTTAAGAGTGAAGTCTCCCTCACATTCGTCCACAAATCGCAGCAGTAGTAAAGAAGCACAAGGCATAATAGTCCGACTGACATTCACTATTATTAATCTATACCTGTTACTAAATACAGGGTATTTACATTTACCTGAATAAAATTTCCTTTATCTAATCTTCTTTGTTTATTATTATTTTATAGCAAACTGGCTTTATGAGTAGAAATGTTTTGTGATGGGTGAGCCGCGAATATTTAAAGTGCTCAATAATGTGCCGCGATATAGAAAAGGTTGGAAACCACTGCATTAATTTTCTAATCGGAGGTAAAATCAGGTGATTTTCTGCAACTGGAAACTTACAACTGGAAACTTACAACTGGAAATAAGAATACAACCCGCCGAATTCAAATCCATCATGGTTCTGGTTGTGAGAAAAGTCAACAAGCATCTTTGCTGTTTCAGCAGTATGTGGTCTACAGTATACTAAAGAAGTGGGCAATTATCCTGTCCACATGCTGGTACTACACAGATCAACACTACTGATTAAATTTTCCAACTCAGATGTTTCGGAAATTGTTTTTGATCAAAATGTAATTGCAGAACATCCCTGCGCCTATCGCCACGAGCATTTGATTTCCAACTGATTTCTTACATATCTGTCATCCCTGATATTACCGTATTTACATTCTCTCTTTCAAATTGTTATATTTTTACTGAATTTTTATATAACTTATAATATTCGATCAAATCGATACACTACCATCCTTGTAATATTTACCGGGAATGCCTAGCCGTACGTGTTCTTCCTGCGAATGATGTCATTGGACATTATTTCGTTTATCAAAGATGGGGTTAAATCTTCCTTAATTTACGACTTTCTCCAAAAAAACTTAACTCTAAATATGGATTGCTGTTTTGGAATTTATCGATGAACAATACAGAGCCTAAAAACCTGTTCTGTGCGAATCGGTGCATTAGCGCAATTTCAGACGCTGTGTGTAAACCATGAGGTCTGGAATGTTTGTTATGGTCTTGTTTGGAAGAATAGCTCATTTCCTACCCAGCAATATAAGAATGAACGTTATATGACATTTGGAAGTAATAAAATATCGCTTACATTTCACGAGTGTACTTCCCGCTGCGATAGAAAAACGTCGCACAGCAAGAAAATAATTCAATAAACCTTGGCGTTGCGCGCTAACCAATAACAAAAGCTAGTATGATAAGGTCTTATTTTGAAGGTCCTTTTATATGCTACATAACATAGGAGAGTGGACATCTCACAACGTCAGGAAGTTATAAAAATATCGAGTCGTTTGATCGCAGCTGCCTCACCGAAAAAAAGTTAGTTCACATAGGCGTTTTATCTCGCAAATTCTCCTTGTCTCACGATTATAAGCTTTTATGATTCATAATAAATGTTTTATTATGACTCACAAAAGCTTTCAACGCGATAAAGCACAAACAAACAACCGATCGATCTATCAAGCTTAGCCTGGCCTGATTCGATGTGGTGACTTCTCAAACGGAAAATTTCCAAAACGCTTCAACGACACGAGCTAACGAAAAGCGTTTAGTATCATATGAAAGAGAAAACCAATGTGCAGTCAACTGTATAGTCACATTTGCGCTTTTCAATAGCTATACACGTCCAACAGATGATAGAATGAGAGAGTGTAAATATTTTTGTTATTTTTTGACGTTACGAGAGACCTCTTGAAAGAGGTGTTTTAGTTTACGGTCCTCCAGTGACATCTAGCGTATAGTACTCTAAAAGACCTTTCCAATGGTATATAATTATTGCATATTGGGTAAATTTTGGGGGTCGTTTGACATGAATAAAAATTGGTATACAAAATTGGGCTCGTTAAAGAGTGTCGAACAGGTACAGCCGCGAAATTCACGAAAAGTGTGATTTGGCCCTCGCCCGCAAAAACTTTGGCCACCAGTGCTTTAGACCAAAAACATTCTATGTTATGAGTTTTTCACATGAATTACAGGTGAATGCGTAGCTCACCAACTCATAGTTGTTTCTATGTATATAACAATTTTACTCACTCCAATCTCGTATGAATCGGCTTTTCCTTAGGCGTAAAGTTCTCTACCATAGATATATATATAGTTTCAATAGCTCTATCCATTTCAGTAGTCGCCAGTATTTCCGCCCACAGATGAGCGTCATTTACTTCTGAGTGAATGGACGTGACCTTGTTTTAGGAAAATTTCTTTATCAGTTATATTAAAACAAATAAGAAAATATATAAAATGTACGTTTCCGCTTCTTAAAGAGCCTTTCAAACTTTGTATATGATCACTGGTCAAGTTGCAGTATTCCATGATTAACTCCCCAGTTTCACAATTTTCAATAATCTCGCCAACTTGCTTCAGGCAATGTTTGTTCATGTTATCGTTTCGACTTATATCAAATCTCGAAATCTGTGTATAGAAAAGCACGATACGATAATATAAACACAAGAACGAATTCTCAAAACAATTTTATCGAAAAGTAAATCACAGAATTTCAGTTGTTAGTGGAGAAATCTAACTATATTCATCTTGAAATAGTAATTCACCCAGGCAATGCAATGAGCCACCCCAAAGCCCCTCATACCATATATGGAATTGAGCTGTGGAAGTTAAAACTGAAACTCATATTAACCCCAAATGGAATATTATCTTATAGACTAACTTACAATTGAGCCTTTGAGAGATCGTTTAAGTTCTTTCAATTTATCTTCCGTCAATGAGCATGATGTAACAAAAAGATCACTTGCTTTAAATTTTTTAGTTATTTCACCGATTACGTTCCAACCTTTAGGCTCAATATCTGGCGCTAGAAACACGTTTACCATTGTTATCTGTTAAAAATTCAATTTGTTAAAACTTAACGAACACGCTGTATTAATTCAAATGAATAATACAAGCAAGTTGATACAACACCGTATTTTTTGAATTTTTTATAATAAGTTACTAAACTTCGAACAATAATTTCGTTTCGTTCATTGAACAGCGAATATTAATATACAAACTTTTTCACTGATAGATATATTCATGATATTTTCTTCAGAAATATAAAACTAACCTCCTGTTCTGGGATAGCTTGCATAATTTTCTCCAGTTGATTTGAAGTCAACTCACATTCAGATATTTTGAATTCTTGTATATTTTGACATATATTTAATAACTCGCAAAGTTTTTTTAAATCCGAAATTGTTTCATATTCTGTTAAACTTACATTGAAACTGCCCTGTAAAGTTTATAAATAGTCGTCGGTTCAGAATCAACGCCCAAGTTATGTAAAATATATAATATAAAACATATACATATATATTGTTGCTATTAAAAAGAAATCGACAACTGAAAAGCGTATTTCAGGCTTGTCCGTGGGACATATGTTCCTGTTATACCCCATCCCATAGAAATTTATGCAAGCCCCATTTCCATCTCAAGCGATTCCCACTGGAATACAAATGAATGAACCATTTCCATAATTTGCATGTAACATGCAAATCTGATGTACTGTACACAACTTTCTCAACAACAATTTGGCGCACTGAATAAGCGATCTACTGCTGCCTATCACAATGGTACAATAGGTGGCGCAAAAAATTTTCGCACCAGCTTTTAGAAACCTGTCTCTTTTGATCGGTCATTTCTCGACATCGGTATTTGTAAAAATAGACCGATAGTTATGATATATATATTGAGTTTTCATATCTCATTTGAACGGATGCTGACCCCTGCGCAAACTGCAAATTGCGCGATAGCCGAAGTGCGAATTGAGCGTATAGCGCTAGCTAAGAATCCTCTAAAGTAGACTCTAGAGCAGCGTTTCCCAAACTCCGTGAGCGTCTTCCAAGTGTTCCGTGGAAATAGGATCAAAGTTACGACTAAATTGGTCGCCATGGCGATCTGGTGATCGTTCAATATCACGTCACCGTCGACCTAAAACGGACTAACTTTTGGAGGATAGTGGCATTGTCGCTAACGGTCAGCATAAAAAGGTAAAATGAATTTATTGATTCATATACACAGCATTTAAAATAAGAAACAATAAAACAACATAATAAACGCAATATGTCAAATATTCGATCATATTTTAGTTCTGTTAGTATTTGCGGCGCATTTGGCAACTCGCCACCCCTTTGGAAATTGCTCTACTACAAAAATTTTCTTTATCACTTTTACCCTTTTATTTTTGGTGTTCCGCGAGGCGAGATAAAAATCGTGAGTGTTCCGTGGCCAAAAAGTTTGGGAAACGCTATTCTAGAGATTAAACAAATGACGATAACAGAGTTTTTATGCATAGTGGGGGAGGAATAAGGATCTAAAATAGGCAGGAGGGTTAGGAACCACTACCTACGTTATTCTGCAATCTTCCGCCGACACCAACAATTAAAATTAAATTTGAGAAAAACTATATAAATACAAACATTTCCAATTGTTTTAGTATGCATTCGATGCGTTACTATTTAGCATAGGTTGAGTTTTAGGGTTACATTTGAAAGGCACACCTCTCGCAGGGGTATGAACCGCTAACCCTCTGGATACGCCACTTGTTAAATCAATAATGTTAGGCAACCCACCGTCCGCGGCCGGACACGGCGCTCGAGCTGAAATCATTTGGCCTGAGACGTTTCATATAAGTATTACAATACGGACCGTCGCTTCTCATTCAGTTTCAAATCGCAGTGTTGCCAATGTTGTGGCATATCCAAATAATGTTTGTCGCAATAAAATCACAATATTACCAATTATTTCCTCACCTAAAACAAAGAAGGGTGCACATGGGCGTGCATGATATTTATTTGTGCACGTGCAGACAATGGCTCAGGTAATGCAATTATTGGAATTCAGCCGTCTTGGAACTTGGAACAACCACGATCATTGAGGCGTAATCTAAGCTTATCATTTACAAACTGTCGGAATAATAATCGTTATGCTACAGTGGCGTTGGTGGTAACATGCTTGCGCCGTAGAAGTCGTGCGAGTTGAAAAAGCTTTCAAAAAATTTCAACTTTGAAGATCCCAAAGGTGAAATGTCTATGATGGCTTGAAAATGTTGATAGCTCAATTCATTTACTTATTTATCGGACTTCACTTCACTGCTAAATGCGGATAGAAGTATATGCCGATCGTTTTACAGGAATTAACATACGATAAAATCCATATTAAAGTCGTACAAAACGTGGAATGATAATTTAAGCAACGCACTGTCATGAACTATTCCTTGCTGAGATTCTATCTTTCAGCAAAATTAAAACAAACCCTGATTTCATATTCATTTATGTATACCTATTTTGAGCAAAAAGCATCTAAAACGCTAGCATACGATTGTTAAATCTAGGCGTCTGTGCGATATCTGTGACGATACGAGTTTTTAACACTACTATTCGCATGAAACAACACATATATAGTTAAGCTATTTCATGAGTTGTGGAAGTTTAGATATCTGCAGTCAAGCATTATTATATAAATAATAAGTTTTATAAAAATACTTCATGATATACAAATATTACAGACGACCTTCGTCGAACGCCTGGAACAGCTCCACCAAACCCCAAGGGTGCGATCGAACCAAGGTTAAGAAACACTATCTAAATTAATTTCGCTACCAAAATTGTGGTATTTACATTTTGAATGATATGTGGTAAATATGAAAAGAAATGTCACAGTAAATTTTTCCGTCGTGTTAATTACAAAATCGGTATCGATACCGGCGTTTTCACTGGTATCGGTATCGAAGAAAAATATGATATGGGTACATCTTTAATTTTGATATTGCGCCTAAAATGTGTAATAAAAAATGAATAAATTCTAAACGGTCCATGCAGAAACATTATTAGATTATAAATTTTGTACCGTTTCGTTTGCTTTGTTGATCAATACTGTCAACGTTTGAAAGTATTTTTTTGTGTTGTGATGGCTTAAATCCAGTATATTCTGATCACGAAACATGGTAATGATTTGTTGTTCCTCGTCGAGAACTTGAGCCGTAACATCTTGAAGTTCGGATTCTTCGGAATTTTCCTAGAGATGAAGAGGTAAGTCTCAGTAATTGTAACTATATATAACAGATTTTGATATTTCAGAAATTCATTCGTGTAGCGGATATTTAAATTGAAACCCGAACTTTCAAAATGGTAAAATGTCTGACGTTGTGCCTGATCTAGGCTTGCTACCTTCAAATTCATATTTCAATTCGATTCTTAAATCATGAATTTTTAATCGAATCTTTCCGAACCTGACTTCATTGACATTGCAAGTTTCTTTGAAGTCACAACACAACAACTTAGATTTAATGGAATACTGACACAGAAAAATGCTTTATAGAATTTTGTTAATGTTAACGATTGACAAGGCCAATGCAAATATCAGTGATGGTCGCGATGAAGATTTCTCGAAACTTTCAGTTCGAATGCTGAGTAAAATGATCAATCTTTTCTAGCAGTCGGTGGCGGATTTTTTGTCCATTCATGCCAGGGCGTTCAGTAATTGAGATGAATCGCAAGTTGGTGTTGCAAATTTGCAATGCAAGTGTAAGGAATCTAGTATTCTACACTTTGATATCTTATGTATACCTTCGATTTTTTTTTATCAAACTCCAAAATGTCAATTTCTCTGAAACCACATTGCCAATGATTCAATCTTTGGCTTTTAAGATAGAGTTCGTGCAAGTAATACAAGCTGTTTTTAACGAGTCCTTGATTGAAGCAAACATCAAACACTGTAATCTAAAAAGCAAACAAAATATTTCAATAAGTGAACTAAAATGAGTCATGTACTTGTAAAATTAATTGTCCTTCATAATATGCATAGCAAGCTACGGTGTTTATAGTCAAACGATGTCTCTAATATGTCTGACGTTCGGCAGCAGTTTCATCACTGTTATCGATCGACATGGACTGATTAGATCGACGCCAACACCGACGTTATGATCGTATTCATACTTGGGGACATACCTATTCACTCCTTGGGGACGATTCGTATTTCAAACTGATGAACAACATAAAATGAAGTGTTTTAGAATAATATTCTCGAACAAATATAATGGTTCGCATTGACTCCGTAACAGGATATAGCGTTCTAATGATTATCCCTGGTTTAAATTCATCGAACTGCTGATATGAATTAGAAATTTGCAGATGTACCGGTATCGGATATGGGTGACATCGGTCATTTTTGAAAATAACAGACAAACAAATAGCTAAGCTATAAAATGAAACTGAAAAAGTACATAGAATACTGTATATTGTTTACTGTGAATACTGTTTGCAAAAAATTATTTTATTCGCTCCGCCCCTGATCTGATGAACATTATTATCGGAAAATTATTATCAATAATATCGTCAAGTTGAAATATCAGCTTATCGGTATCTTCACTTTTTGACAATATCGGATCGATATTAATGTCGGAGAGAATTGTGGTATCGGTGCATCTCTAATATAAATACAGTTGTTCGAATGTACCCAATGTTATTCTAGAGTTATATGAGGGTATGTCTCTTCGATTGCTTATTGGGTAAATCTAAGGCTCGTTCGATATAATATAAAATAAAAGTATAAACAAGTACCTACCTCTACACCTGAATCTCTAAGTTCCTCTGATAAAACTTTAAGGTCATAGGTATTCAACTGACAATTGTTCAGCGCCAATATACTGAGTCGATTACAATGATAAGCAACGCTTCCCAATGCATGAAGATCACTCGCTGTAAGAGGAACTCCAGACAAGTTAATTTTTTTTATATTAGTCTTCGCCAACTGCACAATTCTTTTGTCAGCTCCACACTCACAAAGAGAGTTCAACAGGTTGAGCATTTCCATCGGGTTGATATTCCCAAGATTCAATTTCTTACTCAGGGACTTTAGCAAATGTTCTTTTTTTTGTTGAATTTCATCTTGATTCCCTTTTTAAAGAGTATGAGAAATACGTGTTAATATGACGTTGACGAGTCCTTTCTGCGAAGCGATTGGTGCTGTGGGAACGGACAAGCTACAAGTGTATCGAACGTAATGTTACGACCGACGTTCACAGAAGTAATCAATCATGCAAGAAGTTTCACTAGGTCATCGCTCGCTAACCCGTATGTTTAAACTATAAATGCTCGAAATTTTTGTAGAGGTAGCGAAGGGGCAAAAGTAGTTTTTTTTAACCCCAAGAAATCTAGGAACGGCATATAAGGTGTCCCAATGATATGCAAATAATAATAGCCGTATCATTTTTACACTGATTTTGACTGAAATATCATGTCACAAATAAGAAAAATTCTCAACAGTCTATAAACTTTGAGTATAGTGACAATAAGAGAAATAGATTTATTGTGTACGTCACTCTCGCGACTGAGAATCATATTTTATGTATGCTAGTTTGTACACCTAGTAAAACAACATGAAAATTACTAAAAAGAACTACCTATTATTTTCATGGGGATTTACCTTCTAAGAGACTTTTGACAAAGCCAATTTTCGGTGTCTTTTCGTTAAACATTAATCCACATAACATTTGTCGAACAACACCATATTTCAAGGTATGTATCTGGTTATCAATCAGTTTTTCGTACTCCTTGAGCTCAGTGAAAAAAAACAGTTGACACGCTGCAAGGAGTTCTTGAATGGTCTGATGAACAAAGAAGAATGAATAATCTTCTTCCATCAAATTCTGATCACAAAAAACATTTTCGCCCAGACTTGGGGCACTGATGACGAGACCCCTGATATCCTCGACATTTATGCTGTTATTTACAAAATCAGACTTGGTGAAAACAACTAGTCCTTTTTTAATGCCATCAAGAGAAAGTTTCATCAGATTATTTAGTATTTTTCGAACGTGCTCTTTGCTCTTTTGATGACGAGATCGTACAAAATTTTCTAGTATCATCAGGAGTAATCCTGAAAGATATTCGGGCATTTTCTTATCATCCTGATAAACCATGAGAACAAACTTGAGAAATAACGGTATCGAGCAAAGAGGCATGACCTTGTGTGAATTTTTCGACATATCTTCCAAAATTTTTTTTTCGAGGTCTTTACAATAATGTTTTACTAGTGTCACGATTGAAGCTCTTGAGAGTCCTCTGAGAGCGATTGTGGCACTCGGCCTTATTTCTTCGGGAAATCTTTTTATGGCGTATTCTCTGGATGTCAAAAGTATATTGCAGTAGGGAAATAGATTTCCATAAAGAATGTTGTAGATGATGACAGGTACAAGTGCTTTGTCGCTGTAGTTAATCATATCGTGATGTATATCGTCACGTAGTTCCCATGGAGCTGTATCTAAACCGTCTAACAGTAACAGCATTTTTTTCTGATTTTCAGTGTCCTTAAGCCATTCGAATCCACATTTTTCAGCATCTTCGTCTGCTACGACGTTAAATATAGAAAAAAGTATTTCGAAGGGAGTATACTTCCCATCTTTACGAGACCAATCTTTGATGTTAATAAGATGAACTATTTCCACTCCCTCCATAAACTCGATTTTATGATCTAACACCAAAAGACCATAGCTTTTAAGAAGTGTCGTTTTTCCACTTCCTGCTCCGCCGACGAAAACAATATATCTTCCATGCGAATGAATAGATTTGAGTTGAACCTCGACTTCTCTTTTCCTTTCTTTTGCTGGAAGTCTACCTCTGTCATTTGTAGCTGAATACTCGACTTCATCCTTTGCACTACCACAGCGAAAGAAATTTGTTTTCGATAATTTTGGCGCAACTACTTCCTCTGGCTCTTGGAAGGCGTTTTCAAACTCTAGCACCGTCGATTCTGCTAGACGACGGGATCTTTTGTTCACGCCATCAATGAATTTTTTCCTTAATGTTTCTAATGTAAAAAAGATTACTAGCATAAACACAACATGCAAAGTGTTTAAATATAAATTAGCACAGATGAAAACCTTTTATTTATATTATTCCAGAGATACAGACATAGCGTCCTAATGTGAAGCATGGCTTTTTTGATACTGCTGCTTATAATAAACAGCGTTTTTTTACACAGATGTAACTAACCTATACAAAGGACAGAAGAACTCAAGAGGCGTTTAATCAGAATAATTTGTCTTCTCTCGATTTTAAACCTATTAGCGTGATCTGTAATTGTCATAAACGCACCGTATGGTCTAATATTTAATACAAATTGGGCAACCAATTTTCAAATTCGCTTTTCAAATTTAAAATAATGTATTGATTTTAATTGGATTTGGGGGTGAACATCTGCAAACATTGTGAAAACACTTCAATTGCATGATAAAATACAAAATAAACATCGAAAATTCACCAGTTTTTTTTTCATTGTCAGGTGTATTTGGAGGAACATTAAATACAGGATTTTGAAGTATATATTCAACTTTATCTGAAAAAAGCATAATTGATGAGCTTCAGTTTTAACCCTGTCTCAGGTCGAATCACCTTACACAACGCCAAATAAATAAGTTCGTAAGATCATAACGAGCAGAAAAAATCTGGTATATATTTGAAAACATAATACCTGGGATATAATAAATCATGGGAAATACCTATTATTAAAGAATATTTCATTCAGGGCCGATATTCGGAAGGTGACTAACTGCCAAAGATCGCAACAAAACTACAATATGAACAATGATATTGTCTAAAATATTCAAATGGAATAACTGATATTACACTATTTAATATTATATTGTTCAACATCTTCCGTATGGATGCATGCTTGATTGTCAGCTGCTACTTTCATGGAAGGACATGGATATTCAAGAATATTATATATATATTGTAAACAAGTGTTGGGTACCAATTTTAAAAGTGTTGTTGATAGATGGTTTATAGATGAGGGTTATATGTTGGGATGCCTAGGCGACGATAAATTCTTGATAAAAATATTATGGAACTAAATCTATTCGTTTGGTTAAATTGAAATTCTTACCTGCACGCTCATTGCCATCCATCGCCTTTGCTGTAACTTCAAACAATTCTACTCAAATTTTATTTTCGTTACGACGACTAAGATCACATCGCAAGCTTCAGCAAAAATCGCACTAGATTTATATATTTTCTAATCCATTTAACCTTAGCTCTAAATAAAAAACACTATCATATAGTTCATCCAAGACAAAATGTCATATTTGATCAATATCCCATTTGCTTTGAGTGTACACAAACGAGCATAGTTATGTGCGAATTTATGAAGAGGAAATTAAAATTCCACCTCGCCAACCTTTTTTTCCCCATTCTCCTACTCAAATTTGCATACTACGTTAATAAATATTACGTAATATTTCCTAGTACGATATGGTAGTTCCAAGGATAATGAGAATATGGAACAGCCCTTATTCATATTCAGCCTCGCGTGAATAAAGAGTCACTTTAAAGTTCTCATAACTAAACGGGAAGTTGAAACAATAAAGACGGCGCCCTGTGCGGAACAATTCGATGCTAAACCATGGGTGGCTAACCCGCAGCTCCCACCAGTTTCATACATGTGGCTCTTGCGACAGTTTCATGCGGCTCTTTTCGCCTTGGTTATTCTTGGGGGGAAAAAATATTAAACTACGATGCATCACGTTTCGATTAAACATATTATGATTCATCATGTGACACGAGACCTTCATACACTTCCCTGTGAAATCGTCGATTATCGCGACCCAACCGCGTTCTTTGGTGCGCGAAATAATAAGTAAAACGATGTAACAGGAATCATAGCCGCGTCTGTGGCAATTTGAGTGGCTTAAAGAGGTAATTAAATGTTTCTCCCACCTTCAAAAAACCGGCTTTCCGAATAAAATTTAGCGGCATATCATAGGCTATTTAATACATAATATGTAAGTCATTCAGTTGTTAAAAAGCTTTCTACCAAATCATGGCTTTGTGTATCATTTTTACAAGTTATTTTTAAAATTGTCATAAACATCAGCCTCCAGCTAAAAGTTATTCTGAGTAGTATCAATTGAACAGAGTCACCTATCTCGTCTTACTTTGTGTCTATTGTTATTCAATTGACGTATCCAATGACTAAAAGGATGAATGGCAAAAAACAACAACCCTTTCAGTCAATTTGCGTAGACTATCACAAATACTATCCCCATTACTTGTACGAAAATGCGCATATTAAAACAAAAATACACTGGGTAGCGAATTTACGAGATGCTAAATTCATTAAAAAACAAAATTTTTTACCAAATACGTCATGTTTTCGCATCCCCACGACCAACAACAAATACGTTTTTTCATTACATGAACAGTGCAAATATTTACTCTTGCATGGAAACATGAACAGAATAATCTTCTTGTCCGAAACTGCTCTTACTATTGTCAGCACTACTTCATTCTCCAAAGCTAGTATGGATCTGCATTATTTAGTCTACACGAACTGCTGACAAACTTGTCGTGCTCTTATTTCCCAATTTATTTAGATTTAGTTTCGCGCAATCAACCATATTGTACCTTCGATGTAACAGTCTTTTTGCTACAAAACCAAGTAAGCATATTATGTCGCCTTACGGGAATTCTCTATCGCCTAGGATAGATAAAAAAAAATCCATTTCTTGCGACAGACGACGGTAGACAGCGTTTGGCAGGCATATCCAAACAATTACACTGTCGATACTATAGAAACTATATTATGACAAAGCCCAGATTAATAAGAACGCGCTCGATTAAGGCTCCCTAGATTTAGCCACGTCGTCAGTCGGTCATATTTACATCAATCAGAATATTTATAACGATGGCGCGCCTTAAAGAATATCGCGCAATAATGAAAGAAATACAAGCAGAGCGTGACGAAATTCACGTTGAACGAGCTTTTGAACTGAGGAAGTTACCAATACCGGTAATGCAATTTAGCGATGACGCGCGAGGAAATATCATGCATCAATTGAACAAAAACACACAGTATGAAAATGTTTACCTGCTATTTGAAAGGCAGCGCTAGCATGACGTGACGAACGATGCGTCGAACGACCTTATGGAGATATTCATACCAAGACGAAAAGGGAGGATTTACACCAGTTAGTTGTATTCAAACGTTTTTGTACCGTCGCTCCCTTACAGTACTTTTTACTATATCATATTTTCGCGCAGAAGAAGCTTAATATGGAAGTTTAGTATTTTTTAATGTCTGAACCTAGGGCATATTCGTTGCAGAAATAATTGTTTTCATGCCTGTTATGGCGATGACAATCATTCCGTTGAACGAGGCATTCAATTAAAAGTTCAACCGCTACCCATGTAAAAATTTTCACTTATATTTAACCTTTCCTTGACAAGCTAATTTTCATTCCATGTGGAAGTTTTCAGTTTGGTCTCTGAGGATTTACGCTCTTCCTCCGACGTTTTATTATTTGGTTGATTGATGTTTTCATCGTCTTAATATACTGTGCTGACTCTTTGTAGCTGACTGATGGCTTGTTAGAAGACGCCAAGCGCCTTTTATTCGTAAATCGTTTTTTTTTTTAACAAATTATTTACAAAATCCAGTTCCATTTGCTTTTCGTTGAGTACTGAACATAGTTTAGATTAGAGGGTGTCATAATCTTTGAACGCAGGTACATTTGTATGCGAAAATTGCACCTAAGGCATTTGCACCTGCATACTTTAACACACACGTACATTTCGACCAGTAGATTTTAGCATCCACATACAAATTGCAACCATAGACATTTGTACCCACGGACGTTTGCACCCACTAGATTTGCAATCGCTGACATTTGCACATGCATGAACTGGCATCAACTTACATTTGCACATACAGACATCTGCACATACGTACGTTTGCACCTAGTAAAAAATTCGCACCCTCCGATATTTGCATCCGTGAACACTCATACCACCAGTCGTTGAAGTAAAAGACGTTTCATCGCCATTTGCGCCGCAATACAGCCATTCTAATGTTATGAATAATTATGAAGACGAATTCAATGCAACCAGCACCAGCCCGCCATTAACTCGGAAAGACATCTCGAAACAGACGAAAAACAACACTCAACGGTAGACACCTTTAGGAAAAGAGTCGTTGACAACTCTCTGCCACTAGGACAAGTGTCGTGAACGACTTTTTGTCATACTTTCGCCATGATGTCCTTTATCGCTCTCCAATTTTATCTTATCTGCTATTTCTTTTCGATGCAGTTTTCTTGACTGGTACAATTGGTTTAACGCTAACGTGATGAATCTATTTATGTCCAGTTTTCATTGTCATTGTCTGATAACCAAACACTATCGTAAATTCGACTACGTTTGCTTCATTTTGTTGAAATAAAATGACGGAAAATGATTTAAAGTTTGTCCGAATGAAACAGGGTTATTCGGAGAGCACATAACTGCTGGTGCAAATGTATGTAGTTGCAAATATCCACGAGTGAAATACGCATATGCATGCATGTTGAATTGTGTTTTGGTGGTAAATAATTAATCACAAACATCGGATTCTCGCGACAATCCCCAATATAAACTTTAAATCAATATTGATAGATGGTGTAACACAGCGAAATGAGTGGTGTGACATTGTTTTGTGTAGGTCAATATAAAATATCGTTGAAAGTCGTGCCCAGATGCCTAGCGCATTTCTTTACACTGTTGATAAACTGTCAATTATAGGCTATAGCAACATTCAAAAAAATATTAGACCAATATAGACCAATAAAAAAGACGGCATATTATTTCGATATCATAATTTATTTCTTCATTACAAGTCAATGATATAGTTGAACGATCATGTGTGGTTTCGAGCCAGGTCACAGCCAAAAAATATCATTATGAAACTTTATAAACCTACTATTTTTATTTCGTATATTATTGGTTCATCACAAGTTGAAAATCCAATGAGATGCGGGGTTGGTTCAAACAAATATTGAAGATTTCTTTTAATTAAAAAAGTCTCCATCCGATGGAAGCCAATATTATATAGCATACCAATATTCACAACAATTAGATAATCGTTATTTTGTTTAGAATTTCTGCTCAAGGCGTAACCACGCAAAAATCATAAAAGGTATAGCACGTTTGTGAGTTTTATAAAACGAATTTTGTTTTGATCTACAAAAGGTCTACACTTCAATATTGAACTTTAATTCAGAGACTCGTGGCACTCGCAATTATTTTCTAGCAATAACAATCAGCCCAGCCAAACAACAGCAGAAATTCGGCGAGACGAAAAATGGTTGTTTCCCAGTCCCCCATAGTTGTTCTACTGTAGCCAGACTAAGCATTAAAATCTGCTTTACATGTATTATAGTTAAAAACGGTTTTTACTACAGTTTTATCCTATCTGTGGGTCATATAGACATCGTACCCACAGAGAATACTTTCATTGATGTCAAAATCCATGTAGCGTTGGCGCGTTTTAGAAAACATCGCGCAACAATGATAAAATTGATGTAAGCTGTGAATATTTACTTACGGTTCCAAATGAATAGCGGAGGAGACAGAGCGCGGCAACTTGGCGTCGTTTGGTTTACTAGTTCATACTATAACGTTCAAGTGAGCGATGCTATAAGATGCACTTGACAGAGTTTTTGTGCAACCATCCAAAAAAAACGATATACACGAACCAGACTAACCATATTAGGTAGTATTTCCGTTTAGCTGGGATAAATAATAGAGAGCTGGGAAGGAAGTCATGCGTCAAAAACGAACTTTTGTGGCAAAAGTTTTCGGCATGGAAAGGACGATGACACACGGTAACCCGCGTTGACCGAATGTTAACTACACAGATGAAAACTAGCATTGACTATCGTGGAGAATAAAGTAACGCCTAAGATCTTGAACAAAATCGATGTAATAATGGCGTGTTTCAAAAACTATCGTTAAATAATAGAACCAAAGATGGTCAATATCTTTTAATGAGTGGGTCAAATGTTATATCTATATCACGGGATAAACGACTGCTGCTTATAATCAATGTCTGCAATAATGTGAAACTTGCTGTTGAATCTTTCTCACAATTCTTGTGACCCTTTGTTGGTATTGCTTAGTTTTGAGCTCTATCAATACTTTTACCATGACTGAGCTGATTTCTGACACTCGGATCATTACGGGTGATCGTCGCCATACCTTGCGACGTTTTGTTACGT